TGTTAGACTCTTGTTTACATAGATAAAGCTGTCTTTGAATTTTACTCACCACTAATCTCCAGGTTTCATCTCTCGCTTCCGCTTCCCTCCTACCCAAATGCACATCTTAACCATGCCCTTGGCCTCTATGAAGCCCCATTTCCCAGGTGTCTGCTTTGCCTTGCCACAGTACATGATTGTCGATTTTGTTTTGCTGATTTTGGCTCCTGAGGCTTCTCCATATGTCTGTAGGTGTTTTTGGACTGTTTCAATGCTTCTTTCATTTGCTGCTGCTATTGTTGTGACATCTGCAAACTGAAATATTTTAATTATGTTGCCTCTAGGAGTTTTGATACCTTCTACATTGTCATCCTCCATAATGAGGAGACCCAGCAGCTCTGCAACTAGGCTGTAGAGCAAAGATGACAGCGGACAGCCCTGTCGAATTGAGTGCCGAAGATGGAAAAGATCCGTAAGTTGACCATTACATTTAACTTGACTTTTTGCGTTATCATACAATAAGCGTATTCTTTGAATAAATGTTTTTCCAAATTCAAATTTTCCTAGGACAGCCCAAAGGAAAATATGTTTTACTCTGTCAAATTCTTTACTGAAATCAATATTCAGAAAAATACTTTCTGTTTTTTCCATGGTTCTTAAAGTATATTTAATGGACAGTATTGTGTCCGATATGTTTTTCTGTGGCACACCATCAGACTGTGAGGTGCGAATGATGTCATTTGCTACCAATTTTAACCTATTCGCTAGAATTTTAACATAAACTTTGTAGTCAGTATTTAGGAGACTGATTGGTCTGTAATTCTCTAAGTCACTCGGGTATCCCTTCTTTTTATAAACTAGAGTCACCACTCCCTGGCCAAAGGTCTTGGGCATGCACCCCTTTTGCCCCATGACTTTAAATAGTTTGAGCAGGATTAGACTAATCTGAAATTTGAAATGTTTGAAAAAATCCGTAGTTAGGCCATCATTAGGTGGACTTTTGTTTTTCTTAAAGCCATCAATGGCCTGCTGGACTTCAACCTCAGTCACTGGAGCATCACACATAAGACTATCTGATTTGGTAAGCGATGCACTTAACACTCCAACAACCTTATTTATACTATCCTGTGAAATGTTTATGCGTTGGAAAAGCTTAGAATAAAAAGACTGAATTGTTTCTAAAATGCCTGTGATGTCATTTACTTTCTCACCCTCTTCATTAACAAGTTCATTAATTTCAATGTTTTTCTGTTTTCTCTTTTCCTGCTTCAGAAAGAAAGCTGTTGACCTCTCTCCTTCTGTCAGGTGCTGAGCTTTAGCGCAGATTGTAGCTTCTCTACATTTTTGTATTTCAGTTTGTCCTAGCTTTTTTTAAATTTTGGTATATTCAGTAGCGTCTTTGTTTCTTTCTAAGTTGTATAGTTCGTCATTTAACCTCTTTCTCAGATTTGTTTCTAATTTAGTTTGTTCTCTCTTTTTTTCTCTTAATGAATTTTATGGAGATGTTTTTGATTTGTAATTTGGCTTGATCCCACCAGTCTAACAGGTCATCAGCATGCTTAGCCTGCTCATGGAGGTTCTGGAGCAGGGTGCAGATTTCACCTCTGTAGTCTTCATCCTGGAGAAGGGAGGCATTTAGACACCAAAGACCTCTATTTCTGGTGCCCTATCCCATCTCAACTTCAAGGAAGGCATGGTCACTCCAGCTTTTGTCTCGGACGCGGCAGGACATCACCTCAGGGATAGTAGAAAATGACATGAGACAGAGATCTATACGAGACTGCTTTAATTTGACCAACACTACCTGTTTTCTAGTAAACTGATTTTTGCTTGGATGAAAAACTCTCCAGAGATCTACTAAACTATTGTTGTTAATGAGATTGTATAACGTGTTTCTGCTGCTGTCCTCTGGAAAGATGCAGTTTCGAGAGATGTCAGCCCTGGTGAGAGCCACATTATGCTGTGTATTTTCCAGTTTTTATAGGATGACGAAGACAGGGAAGCCCGATGCTAATTGGGCTGGTGTTATGCAGCTGTATGCTCAGGGAAACGCCTGCCCACTGACTCCTGTCTTCAATCAGAAAGTCCGGACAACCGACATATTTGGAAATGAAATCCCCTGCAGTTGTGGTTATCATAAGGTAAGTTAAAATGTTTTTTATTAAAAAGCTATATTTTGCATTCTGTAACATGTGACCATTAGAATTTGTAAGCGTTTCACAGATTTTTTAATTTTAATTTAGTATTTTATTTCAAAGGTTTTTCAAGCTTAGGCAACAAATTCAAACTTGTTTTTCCACAGTCAACTGAGCACATAGGTTCAACAAGGGTTCAATCAGAAAGCATGTCAGGTGCAGGGCCAATCAGAGCAGCCAAGATGTAACTAGGGCCCCAAGCAGATCCAGCGACACAGAGCAGTTCAGCTGTAAAAAGAGTGCAAGTAAACCCGGCCATTCACAGGAGCTCAAGCGTAGCAGGTGCTGCAGCAGATCCAGCCAGTTCAAGTACAGGCAAAGTTCCAGCTGACCCCACAGCACACAGGAGCTCAAGTTCAGGGAGCTGTCAACCTCAAAGAATCCCAATCAGTCAAACCCCAGAGCAGATTCAGTGTGCATTATGCAGTGAAAACATCAGCATGGAACTTTTTATTGAACAGTTGTCTGACTTTCACGCAGAACAATTTTGTGAGCATTGTGGGAAAAAGGTCAAGGGTGCAGTTGGACTGCTTCATCATATTGAAGGTCATGATGATCCACCACGCCAAATGTCAGCGTCTCAGCCACGCCAAACGTCAGCATCTCAGCCATACCAAATGTCAGCGTCTCGGCCACACCAAACGTCAGCGTCTCAGCCACACCAAACACCGGAATTCGAACCACAACAATAACAAACATAACATGGGAAACCAGCAACACCACCCCAACAACCACCACCTCAGCCACAGCAGTGCATTCCACCAGTGCAACGCCCGCAACCAATTCCTCAAGCTGCTTCTTCTCCTGTTGTCACCTAAAGCCTCCAGAGGTGAACTGGGTGAGTTTTCTTCTCAGTTTATGCAGGTCAGCAAGCCAGCAGACCAGGAGTGTATTGCATAGTACCTTTACAAACCCACTGGCCGGTTTAGACAACAGTTCTCCCAAAACTGGTTTCATCCGCCCACTCCACCAAAGGTAATGACTGCACAACCAGATCCCCTGGTCTGCTTCAGGCAGTGGATGTTTCTATGGGCACTGTAGGGGTCACCTCGAGTGAAGAAACAAGATTTACTGCCTCGAAGCAGGGCTTGGACAGGCCTGACAAGAGGACAGGAACTCTGTCACAAACTGAACTCTATTTAGGCCATGACAGGTCATTCYAACCGTGGAAGAGAACCCCTCAGTTCTCTTTTACAGATAATTGGACAGAACAATCTCTTCTGTTTGTGATTCATGTGTGTTTAACTAAGATTGTTTATGCATTTGTTAAATCATGATAATGACTGTCACAGGAAAAGTGGAACCACTTCTTTTCTTTAATCGTGCCTTAAAGATTAATAATGGTATAAAAAATCACAGATTATCTGATTACAATGTTTTCATTGTGTTTTTATGTGAATCACTTTTTTTATTTTACTGTGAACACAGTAATATAATTGTGGATTTTTCCTGAGAAAATCTTTCATTTATCTGGACTAACAGAAGGTTCAGAACTGATTATAAAACAGAAATGTTAATTAAACATCATAAATGTTTTGCAGTGATTTCTCTTAGAGTCTATCAGAAGAAAGTTGAAAAGAGGTCATCATATCATGTTGTTGAACAGCCACAGCATTTTAAACTTGGGCTGGCACCACTGGCAAATCTTTATCTTTCTTTCTCTGACTCATCTCTAAGCCTGAGGGCGGAACCAAAGTTCGTCCATTTCTTTTATTAACCCAGACAGCTTTGAGTGACACACTCTTCATCCTGATTCCAACCGGGGAAGACAGCAAGAATTCTCTCTGGGGAAAACCCAGTTTGGCTTTAAGTCTGATCCCATGAGCTAACTAGGGAAGACTTCACAGCCAGGGACCTAGCACGCCTGCCGATGGTTCCAAATCSAGGCTTCGAGCCTCTGAGTGTTTTTAACTCCCGAGGGGAAATTTTATTTTGGAAAGAGGAACCGGATACGGCTTGAATTTTTCTGGCTTGGACTGAAACAGATGAAAGTTACCTGAAAAACACCTGTTCGCCAATAACCAGTAAGCGAGCCGACATCAGTTCCCTGACTGATCGGAGGTGAGCCAGCTCCTACCCCGAGGGTGCCTTAAGAAGTCATCATCAGGTAAAAGCTGATGTGTTCGGAGTGATGTGTCACGTGGAACCTGAGCTTAGAAAAGACATGCAGTTCCAGTTGACCCACACTTTGATAAAAGTAAAAGTAGTAGTAACATACTGTACTAATCTCACTTTCCTCCTTTCCTTGTTCTTAATTTGCCAAAACGTAAGCTAAAAATGCCAGTAAAATTGTTTGGTTGTTAACATCAGAACTGACGTTTTACTGTTCTATATAAGTAATATGAGTTGATGTGAATTGAAATTCGGACGCGGGTTTTTATCTCATTTAACTCTGACTCTTGTTATAGGAATAACCGCAATCAGGTGTAACTTATGATCTGTTCAATTTGTGTAAATAAATGATTGCATGGTCTTTTATGAATCAACTTGAACTCGTCTGAATGTTCACTTATTGTGCCACTTTTCACTTCGCACAGTCAAGATATTAACAAGTAATGAGAAATACCTTGGTAAAAGTTTCCTCATAACCTTGTGTATGAGAGATGTGGGAAAAGCTTAATTCACTTTAAGCTCACTCCTACATATTGGTGGCACCGAACGGGCCCATTTTTTATGGTAACTCGTAATATACAGGTGCTGGTCATAAAATTAGAATATCATGAAAAAGTAGATTTTTTTCAGTAATTCCATTTAAAAAGTGAAACTTGTATATTATATTGTTACGGCCGGCTCCAAGCCGCAACAAAATAGGGAGACGAGACGGTGTTAAAATATCAAAACAAAAGCATTTATTTAAACTAGGCTAAAAGTAAAAGAAAAAGCGAAAGATGGTGCTCCGCTGCACGCGACGCCAGTCCGTGCCACGCGCCCAGAGCATGGTGGAAGGAAGGGGGAAGAGGAGGTCGCCAAACCAGTCCACACCCACGACTGCAGACGCCCTTCTCGATGTACAGCCGATAGCTCTCTCCCTCTGCGAGTCGCCCTCTGTGCATCCTGTGGGTCGCTTATATCTGGCCCTCTTAATCCAGAACACCTGCGCAAAAGAGAAAAGGGGGCAGGTGCAGCACTACACACACACACGTGTCTGCTTACAAGGCCCAGGGCCGTAACACCACCCCCCTCCCCCCTCACAAAAAAGTGACCCACAGGATATGCTAAAGAAACAAATAAAAAAAAACTCACCCAGGGCTTCAACAAGCCCGGGACAACGCATCTGCTACCACGTTGTCACGACCTTTTATGTGCCGTATCTCCAAGGTGTAGGCCTGTAGGAGGAGNTAATAATAGTGATAAAGAGTTCTCTATAGTATAGAATATATGATCAAGCTGAGGGATGTCTGATGATTAGCTGTTGATGTCGGTGATGGCCTGGGGGTAGAAACTGTTCTTGTGTCTGACAGTCTTTGTGGACAGAGATCTGTAGCGTCTGCCAGACGGGAGGAGTTGGAACATGTTGACCTGGGTGAGTGGAGTCAGTGATGATTTTCTCAGCCTGATTCCTGGTTCTTTCGTGATACAAGTCCTCTATATAGCTGTGAAATATTTAAATAAGTACAAAGCTTGGGACTCAAGAGGATAAAACTGGTGGTACACAGCCCCCTGTGGCCACCCCCACTTGTTGCACCCCGATGACTGACAGGTGATGTTCCACAGTGAATTGGCGAGCTGGAGCACCACATATCTCTGTTAGATCTAGCTGGGACAAGACTTTTCAAACTCGTCTTCTGAGTTATTAGTAAGCACAGAGCTGATTTGTTGTCCTAGGCTGAGCTTTATGGGAGAAGTTTTCAGATCAAAGCCACTCGGTCCTGTTAGAGCCGCAGCATCTCTGGATGCCAGAGACAAGAAATTTAATTTATGCAGCAGTAATAAGGGCAAGGCATTTCTTATTTTGTGAATGTTTAGTTTTTATTTAAGCACCACTGTTTGTTTTAGTAGCCCGCCCCGTGTTATTGGGACTAGTTTTTCTGATCTCCGCTTTTCATTGTCAGCTTAGGTGTCTGCTCTGTAGCACAATCAGCTGTGCGATATGATCGGCCGGACCGGTGGTGAGGAGAGGTAGAGAAGTCATTTGATATGGCCTAGTTTGGAGCACAATGAATCCAGAAAAACATCAGCTCCCCAGAACATGTCACTCCTTGATGTCGTGCTCGCCCTGCGCTGATGAACCGCGCGTCAGGCTGGTGGTTCACTCCAGGTTCACTTCAGCCAGTGGGCCGGTTCACGGACTGAGCCGCCGACCCTCTGACCTGCGTCTGGGCCAGTGGAGCAGCTCGTGGGCCGGTGATTCAGGGGCTGAGGTGAAATCCACACCCCCCCGCGCAGATGACGGGTGGTGGGCCGGTGGTTCAGCTCGTGGGCTGGCCCACCGGGGATTTCCCCGGTATCACCGTATGCCAGTCTGCCCCAGCTTAGCCCAATTATTAAAATCATTGTGGCCACCTAGTTGTTCAGTTGTACTGTATTTTTGATTAATATATGTTTGTTTAAAAAATGTATTGCTGTTTATGCAAATTGAAATAATAAGCTAAACCTTTAAAAATGATCTCCTCCAAAGGGATAATGCCAATAAGCATGTAACTTCTCATGTAGCACCTAGTGGCTCCACAATGTTCAGGTTCAGGTTCAGATTTATTCAGGTCCCAAAAGGGCAATTAATGTTACAGCAAGTGCATGGTACTGAGGCATTTTGGTGATTTTTCACCTTATGTCTCCCCGTTGCCTGGCAACGCACCTGCTGATTGGACACACCTGCAGAGGAGCTGGCTCATCAGTGTTGGCTTTAAAAGGAAGACTGAAGGATCAACTCATCGCTGAAGCATCAAACCGTTTTTGGTAAAAGATCTCAGCCTAAGAATAATTTTGAAAACCTGACCTGTCTAACCTTTGTTCTTTCTCTCGTGTACTTACCTGTCTCCAGTTAAAAG